GTATTTTAAGTATTTTGCATTTATGTTTACAGATTATATTACCATGCATAGGCAATCAGCTCACATTCTGGAGAATATTTTATGAGCTAATTTAGTTTAGGTCAAATATCTAGGCAAGATCCAAGTAATAAAAGATGTAAAATGAAGGATTTCTGCTGACTGGCCAAATCCTTGAACTTTCTATGATTGCATATTTGTCTGATTCTTTCTTTCTGATTTTTAATGTAGCAAAAGTACTCGGAGCACTGTGAAATTTCCTGTGAAGTTAAAGTTCATATTCTTTAGTTTTACATTTAACACTCTTTTTGAAATCCATATTTTTATGAAATTCATCTGTATTGTCATAAAGATTTGAATTCAAGTAAAGTAAAAGAGCTTGTTTTAAAAAGTAGTATTTTAAGGGAAGAGAAGTAGCAGGAAGAGGTGTTGCATTCTGTGCCAATTGCTCTGAGTTGCAGGAAGAGGAAAGGCTCCCTTCCTTTGGGAAAGGGGGTGTGGAAAATGAGAAAGAAGGTGTATTTAGGGTTACTTATGAAAAACTTAGCAAGGGAGACCAGAAGGTGATATTTTGGACCAATTATCCAAAGCACAAAATTTTGTAGTATGGGGAACATCAGCTAGAACAGTAACTTTTTGGAAATTTTCCTGCTACAGCAGGACAGTTGATTGTGCAAACGCAAGATAGCTAGGTAGCAGCTCTGCCAAAGTGGATGCATCAGAGGTGAACTGTGAGTAGGCGTTGAAGATCGAGAAAGGAAAAGGTGATAACTGTATTGGGAAGACCAAATAAGACTATTGTTCTCAGATATGTGAATCTATCCATCCCCTGCTTTTGCTGTTTGTTAAGCTACAGTTGCAGAACTGCTTTCAGTTGTAGGCATTGCTATGCAAGGAAAGCATCTTGGGTTATTGAATTATAGACTCATCACTATGCATGAGCACAAAGAAGCACAGAAATATGATTATACTAGCCAGGGGAACTCCAGTAACCCTGGCAGAGGCATGAGTTTCTGCCTGGCTCTTCCCATGTCTGTCACAAAGAAACCATCAGCTCTTGTGCCAGCGTGGAACCCATCATGTCAAATCAATGGGACAGGTTCTTCTGAGTACCTTTTCAGACTCTAGGGAGCTATTGCTTAGGAGATATGGGCCTTGTTGTGGGATGCAGGGAGAAAGGCATCTCAACATTGAATATGTCTTACTAACAGAGATTTAAGCAAAGAACCAAAACCAGGAAAAATGAAGGAATCTTTGAGGCTTAGGGAGGAAGAAGCTTGGGAAAATTGAGAGGATAATAAAATCAGACTGTTGTATGTAAGCAAGATGCTGAGCCTAGCTGTGTCCTGAGCATGATCAGTGCACTCTGCACTGTTTTCCTGTCTGGCTTGTTTTTTAAATATTTTCAAGGATAAAAAAAGCCATCTATTTTCAGTGCACTTACCTCTACAGAGATCAAGGTGCTAGAGAGTTAAATTTGACCATGAAGGGCCTGTGTAGTTTTGGAGCCAGTAGCTGAAGAGACCCAAGTGTGTCCAGACTGTCTGCATGTCTGTGTCAGTGCATAATCACTAGTTAACACCAAACTGGTAGTCAAGTGAGTAAGATGAAGCTTGGGAGTCACAGATGGGACTGGCCATGATTCTGGAGAAACTTGAGTAGTCTGTGAGCTGACTAGTGGAGGGACCAGGATGTCCAAGCCAGCTGTTGAAGAGAGCATGGCCTCTGGGGTACAGCTTCGGGAAATGTTATAAACATGCATCAGCAGCCAGAGAGATCTGGTTGCATATGTCTGTGTCTGTGAGTGAGGCAGCTGAGGGGCCAAGGCATCAAGGATACAGAACTAGACAGACTGAATGTCTAAGGCCAGTTGCTGAAGACACACATATTTTCTATGTGTGTGTCTGTAAATATATATATATTTTCACTGATATAAGGGAACAAGATCAAGCCATTTGTGCTCTTTTTTTTTTTTTTTTTTGTGTGTGAGTGCTGTGCTCAGTGTTCCTGTATCTCTGTGGCCAGTTGTGTGAATCTATATGTGCATTGTGTGCATGTCTATTCAGACACCTCACTGCTGGCTGTGCCTGGGTTGCCTGAACTGAGCCACCAGATTCAGCAATTTGTGACCAAGTATGTTTGGAAAAACAAAAAGACAGGCAATGACAATTGTGAGAACTGTGAAGAAATTAATTGTCTGGGTAAAAAGAGAATTACTAAAGTACTTTAGTAAAAGGAAGCACAAAGGGGAGGGAAATAGTCTGTAGTTCAGATTCAAATATTTGTAGTAAAGCAGTTTTGGTTTTAATATTAGGCGAAACTACCTGATAGGTAGCAAAGCCAAAACAAATGTGATTTGCATAAGTAAGCCGTTGAAGTTCTGTCTGCAAAGGTTTTTACGAGTAGGTCCTACAGTCTTCAGTGAGGAATGTTGTTAATCATGTTTTTAGTTGGGGAATAGTTATAGTTTCCTTTGTGCTTTCATGTTTTAATCTTATTTCTTTTAGAAATTCCTCTGCTTAGATTTGATACTTTATGCTTTATGATACTGGATGTATACCTGGTGATAGGAACTTGAAGGATTTGTCCTGATCAGCCTCTAATATACTGCAGCAAATGGATGAATTCCAAGTCCTCTGCAGGTGAAAGGTTCAGCCTCAGACCCAAGGTTTTAGAAATATTTGGGGTTACAGTGGTCTCTGACTACAAGCTTTTTGTTTAGAAAACTAACAAGTCAGAACCTGAAGACACATTTTGAGGTTGATTAGTCTTTTTTGTTGATATGGTATTTTTCAATGTAAATGTAATTCTCGTTTTGCCATTTTTCTGCATCTCTTTCTTTGGATGAACATTTATTTCTATGCAAGGTGCCCTTATTCTGTGTGAACTTGCTTGAAGCACTAGACAAATGCTTCTTGCTCATTGATGACAGATATTTAGAAGGCTGAGGGCTATCAAGGCAGGATCCTTCCAACATCATTGGTACTTATCTGTCTCATCCGAGCAGCTGTGTCAGTGGTTCGTGGTGCCCTGCTATATGAAGCAGTAATTATTTATTGATTTATTTCACTGCAGAAACTCCTCCACATTCGTTCTGTGAGATGAAAAAGGAATCCTTAAACCACAATGTCAGAGAAAATACCTGAATGATATCTCTAGGATAAGCCACAGCAAATGGGCCCTACTTCTAGCACTGGACACTGGCTGAGGCAGCAGGCTACTTTGAAGCAAGTTCCCTCAGTGAGGGGGAGAAAAATAGTTGTGATTCTCATGGGAAAGAGGTAGCTGTGAAGGTTTTGCAGGATGAGGGCCCTATGCCAGTCTGGAAAGTTTGATCATCCTTGTCTGCTGGCATGTTCATCAGGGCAGCCATCTTTCCTATTTTCCTTCTCAAAGGGCCTGAATATCATTCCTCCTGGAGATGGAGTCACTTGTGGTTTGGTACTGTGCTCATGCATAGTATCTAGAATCACTGGCATATATGCATGATCAGCCCCTGCTGCAGCCTACACTGGAAACAGGAGCTATAGGAAACATAAAGCTTAGATAAGGAGACAGTAGGCATCTAAATTGTTATATGATGCAAAAGAACAGAAAATAATTCCACATATGATCTATAATTTTGTTTCCAATCCCTAGCAGGCACATCTGAAGAGGGAAAAACATGATCACATGTAGCCTAAGGCAGTGATATTTCCTGAAAATGACACAAGAATGAAGACTTTATATATGCTTCACTTTCTTGAGATATGTTTCCTTTCTGCTATAATTAAAATAATGACATCAGACAGCTTCTTCCTTTACTTTTTTGGGAGTAATATATGCATATCTTAAAGGAACTATGGATTTTAGAGTATCACTACACTGTTCTATAGGAACAGCTTATCAGTTCCTGCCCCACTGCTTCTTAACAGGTCAAGTAACATAGCTGTGGCACACTGAGGATTCAAATGTTGTCAGTGTAGTCGATATGGATATCATTTAAGTAATCCTATTTTGTGGTTTTTAGGGAAAAAATCTGAGCCAGAGTGAGAATCTTCCACCAGTACCACTGTACTTGAGAAAACAACACAATAAAGAAGTCCCTGGCAGAAACCTCACTGAGTGTTTCATGAGAGTCCTCATAGGAAGAGTTGCTGCTTGATAGCAGTGAACTCAGCAAGTACTTGTGCCTTGTTCAGTAAGGAGCAAGGAGGCAGAGGAGGAGGCTTCGGTGCTAGTCTTTGTTCATGGTCAGTCAAGATATTATTGTGGATTTTTCTGAGTGGCTATTACTGTAAGTGCTGCATCAGTAGAAAGTAAAAGATCTAGTGCAGAATGTGGGTACTTGTCCTACCTCTGGGAGGAGGTTTTTTACTGCTGCTGAAGTGTAGGAGATAGTGGAGGAATAGTGAAAAACACTGTAGTGTGTGGTCAGGGATAGAGATTCAGTTGGTCAATCCTTCTTTATTAATGCACACAAGAAGGGATTCTTCTTCAAGAAATACATCATGAGGGTTTTTTACATGTTTCCTGCCCATCAGCTAGTTTAGTCTTTCTATTGTGACTTAATTCAATTTTATATATTATCTGCATCTTTATTGATGCCAGAGAGACATTGTAGCATCTGCCTACTTTCTTATGTGACAGTGTTTAGATTTTTACTTCAGGGAAAGTATCTTAGTAAAGTGCTTACTGAAGAGCTCTCCTGTTACTTCAGTATTCTTGGAAAAGAGAAGCCACCAAAACTCTCCATGAATTGCATGAAAATCCAAGGCAGAATCTGGTGTACATCTCTGTCTTGATTTTCCTGAGATTTAAGTTGAATAATAATATTTTAACTTGAATAATAATGTTTTAACTTAAATGTTTAGAACAATGATAGGAACACTTACAGGACAGACTGTTCAAAACTGTCATGTATAGGCTCAGGGAGCAGGCACATCCTGCTTAAGAACTATATACAAACTAATTTTTCCTTAATCAAAACCGTAAGTATATTCATACATTCAAGTAACATAAAACTGGCCTATCTGCCTTAATGTGCGTTTCTATCAGCTAAAAGTCCCATGTAGTATATCTTCAAAGTAACTTTATTGTTGCTCAGATTCAGAGCTTGACAATTCAGACATTGCTCCAAAGGATCTGAAGGTCAGTGTCATGGGAGAGAAGGCACCTGACAGAAACACCATGGCTTCCTTGGAAAGTGTGCGTGCTTTTGTTCTGTTACAATGAAAATGCATCTTCACTGAGACTAGCACTGTTGGCAGTCTCAAGGGAAAGGGGAAGTTCTGATTTGCACATTTTTTTCTTCTGCAGGGTCTCTTTGGCAGAGCAGGATGCAGAAGCCCCTCCTGCCATGACTTGCCCTGTAGTTACTTTGTGGGGAGAACAGATGAGTTCAGCATACAGGTCAGTTCATCCTTGTGCTCAGAAGCAGATCTCCATCCTCAGGTAACACCCCTTCCGAGCTGTCTGGCAGTTCTGCTCACAGCAGTGCCGTGTTTGTTGGCATGCATCTTGGAAACAATAGCAGACTGCTGGGATTTAAAAATATTCGTCTGCTGCCTTGCAATGCCTCAGCCTGTCAGGATATATTCAGATAACAGTAAAGACTGTCATATAGTGTGTGACATGACAACAACATAATGGGATCAATAGAATTCCTCTTGACAGGACACAAATGGATAGGCCAAACTAGGATAGCAGTCTTTTCTTCTTTCTCTTACTGCTGATTGTTGTTCTGATTCTAGGAAAGGGAACTGCTTCTGGATTAAAAACAAAGAAAAGAACGAAGCAGATCTGAAAGGGTGATAAATACTTTGAAATATGGAAAAGACATTTTTTTGTTTTTAACAAATATGTTAACTAATTTATTAACTGAATTCTTCACTTAGTCATGGTAGAGTATAAGTGTATTTTATGTATAGTATCTGTCTCCTCAACCGAAATGAGTTCATTTCTGTGCTGAAGAAGGTGACTTGAGGTTGGCCAATTTCTATTCTGCACTAAAATAACTTTGGCAATGTGGTTTCACAAAAATAAATGCTGTTTTGTTATCTAACTCAAACGAAAATTTTGTGTGTTTTTGTTATGTTCCCGTGAGGAAAATGCATCTCCCCTGTTACGAGGATGGTTGATAGTCTCTAGGGTAAAGAAAAGGTCTGATTTACAATTTATTCCCTGAAAAATATCTATCCGGGTAACCTGCATCAATTTAGGAGAGCATGGTGTGGGAGCCTCTCCTGCTGTGGTTTGTGCTGCCATCTGATTACTTATTACACTGAAATCCCTATAAATTTTCTATAAAATAGTATTTAATTAGACTTTATGAAAAAAAATAAAGCAAGTTAAATAAAACTAGAAATTCTTATAGCCTTCTGTTCATTATGCATGAAGTTGTTAGCTGTTTTTTATCCCAAGGATTCTTCATCTTGTTGAGTCATATTATTTAATACATGTTACAGTTCTTCTAGAGTGCTTATAATTGTCTGAGTAGTCTTTATGATTTCTTTTTATTACTTCATTTATGCGTAGAACTGCATTCATTCTTACTGTCTATCATGAAATCAGAGCTAGGAACTGCTGACTAAAATCCTCACGCAAAGGTAGAATGAATATAGCAAATAAAACCAGATCATCGACTTTTCTGTTTTTACAATCATTTTTATTTGTATTCATTCAGAAGGGTGACATTTTGCTTTTTTTCATATGGAAATTTTTTGAGAATCTGAATTTGGCCTCTAGGTATAAATATATTTCAGTGAGCACATTAACATTGAAATGCTATGGCTTCTCCTAAGTAATCATGGAGTATTTTAGCATCAGCTCCATTTTGAGCAGAAATTCAGTGTTGAAAGGGCTTATTCTTAGAGACTTGAGGTTAAAAGAAAATTTTAGTGCTTTCTTGGTTCATCAATGTGGCAAGATACGGAAATGGAAAATTTGATTAAGTATAACATAAATATATAGGTTATTCTACTGATACATTGTTTACTGCTGGTTTGAACTGGCTGAGGTAAAAGAAAACATTTACTCCTTTTTAACTGTCACAAAATAAATAATCATCAAAAACTCATACATCTTATTAATTAACTAAATAACTATGTTCATAGAAACTTTCAAGAATCTGTTTCAGAACTTTCCATACTAATTTTTTATTTTTCAGTGATTCTCCTGCTGGGAAAGTATCTCATGCACTGAGCAGTTGCACAGCTGTGTCAGTTGGCAGGCCAGTTACACAACCCAAGCAATGGCAAAGCAGTGATTTTACAAATAAACACAAGATAAATGTTGCATGAAAACTCAGGCATGACTTTCAGAGATAAAATAAATTTCTAGTGGGTTTCCTGGTTATTCCTTTTTGCTAGGGATTATGTTTGCCAAGAATTTTCGGTAGATAGGGATGGTATTCTTTTGCAGGAAACTGATCTGCAAATCTCTTCCTTTTTTTTAATCCTTCCCTCTTAATCTCTTTCTTACTTTTACTCCCTCATGATTTTCTAAAGAGGAGGAAGACCTGGCTATTTTGCCAACTTCCATTTGGATATGAGTCAAAATCCACCCAAATCAGTGAGGGGCTTTGTATTGAATTTTGTAGGTACTGAATCACAGCTGTAATTTTTTGAAGAATATCACAACACAAGCAAATTAATTTGTATAAGTACAAAAGATGCATCTCACCTCTGTTGATATATTTTTAGTAAGTAATTAATGCATGTTAATCACAAAACCTACAATTTAACCGTGCAGCAGTAAAATGTGACCATAGTATTCTTCTGTCCAGCTAAAAGGGAAGTTTATATGTGTTTATTCAGATGTAGAGTTTTGTGAGATAAGTAGAGAGCACAAAAATAAAAGAAAAAAAATACCAGAAAGAAAATCTAAGAAAATAAAAAATAACTACTGTATCTGCTTGTATTGTTTTATGGGTGAGACTAATATTTAAAAACTAATATCTTGAGATGAACTGATATATTTTATTGAGAATGAAATATTTTTAAAGATTCCAGAGGAAGTCTCCTTTAGTGGCTACATCATAATAATGAAAGCTGCTATGTATGGCTACCAAAAGGTGATTTGGAAAAGTATAGCTTCAGCTTTTTCAGTCAGAGGCATGTCTGAAGTTATTTGATTATCTTTGAGAAATAAATGGAACTAGTGGGTTTGGTCCTAAAGTAATGTATATTCAGTGGTTGAGAAAAATAAAGCACTGTCTAGGAAAGTTGTCTCACTTACTGCCAGGCTTTTGCCATGGATTTTGGGAACAACCTGCCAGAAACCACTGAGTGACAAGTCAGGTAATGATTAAGGGATGAATTGGGACACACGAGGTCAAACTGTGCTCCTGATTACTCCTATGGCGATGTCCAAAGGCACCTCTGCACAAGTGGATAGAATATTTGTGGATAGAATCGAATTTGCTCTGCCTGTGTTGCCAGATGCATTCAAGCTGATTCTGCCTTAAAAGCTGTGAGACTATGGGTTTAGGATGAAGTCTTAAGCCTGATGTGTAATCTATTATTATTTGAGGCCTTAAAAGTATTAAGTGGGTTTGGGGTATTTTTGTTGTTGTAATTGCTCTTTGAATTGCCTACATCTGTTTAAGGTTGAAGCATTAAAATTAAATTAATTTAATTTTCTTTCTCCAGTACTGTATGCCTGTCTAATTGCTGACTACCACCTGGAAAGGCAAAACAGAACAAAAAGCAACTAAATGGAAATCTGAATTTTCCTGCATTTCAGATCTCTCTGTGACTAGCAGAAGTAGGCATGCTTGTTCTTAAAAATAAAAAGAATAACAACCACCAACACATGCATATGTTTTACTGATCTTTGTTTCTAATATTTAATGCCAGGACCTACCATAATATTATAAACACGCCACAACTGAAGAAATGTTCCTACTTACTCTGAAGTTATACTTAGAGATGTGCTCCTGGATGACTTATGAATTGTCTGTGGGCAAAGTACGAAAACAAGTGGATTATCCGTAGCTTGATTTTCTCAAATAACTGCAAATTTGGAATAATTTATTCCCTTTTTTAATAATAAAGTCAAATGAAGCAAAAAAACATTGCTATTAGTGCAATCAGTCACTCTTACCTGTTGTAACTTTATGTCATCGCAAGATCTGAGAGAAGTGTATGGTCCTTACAGACACTTTCCTTTGGCCACTTCTTTAACTGGGCTAGAAGATAGTTAAAGACCATGATTGAACAATATCCCTCAGGAGCTGAATGCTTACTTTTATTAAGTGATTATTTTTAAGTTGTTAGCTTTAACGTGTTGGTACGTTTCTATGAACTTTAGGCAATGCAATTTCAAACCAAAAATCTCCTTAATCCCAAAGTAATGGTTGGGAAAAACAGTAACCTGGCTCCAAATGAGTTTTCATGATACTGGCAATAAAGGAAATGCAATTCTCAGTCACAGGATGTAATAAGGTCTTCGAGTCCTGCATGCCATTAGCTGAGAAAAAAATCATGCTAATAGTTTGCATAACCACCCCTTGGTTTCCATGTAAGAGTGAGTTCTATTTCTGTATTTCTGTTCCTTGAACATGTGGAGAAAAAAGACGAAAACAAGAAATGGGAGAGAAATGAAAGGGAAAGGCAGTAAAGATATGGTTTTAGTGTTCAAGCTGACCAGGACTCAAAGAGGTGATTTTCAATGCCAGGTTTAACAACAGCTTCAGCAGCCATTGTGTCACTTCAGACTCTTTGTTTCCTCAGTGCTTTCTGTTCTAAATAGAGAACTCTTCTGAGGATCAACTGTTTTGAGATCAATTGCTGAATACATAGGAGAAGAAGAACTAGTGACAGAGCAGGGACAGATTAAGAAGGGTGAGATAAGTGAACAGAGGGAAATATGACTTAGCTATGAAAACTGGGAAAATTGAGGGGCTGTGACAAAAAGTTTGGAATGGAGTGAGTGTTAATGGATGGTAAGGGTGATAACCTAAGGAATTAGCACAAGAACTGAGAAAAAGTTGAGAAAAAGTGGGGGAAAGAGAGAATTATGTTTAGAAATATTACCAGCTTTTGAAAACCAAGGATAATGAACAGAAAAAGATATAGGGGAAAAAAGGGAATATCAGCAAAGAAATTTGAGTGAAAGCAATGGAAATTAGAACAGTCCCCACCCGCCATGTTATTGTTAATTTTTTTAACTGTCTTTTGAGCAGTAAAAATAGCAATATGGTGTTGTTTATACGATGCATGAAACCCGTCAAGATCATTATAGTGGAGGCTTTAAAGAAGAGCTGGCCAAAATTAAAAAGATTCACACTCTATCTGTCATCATAAAAATATGAGAAGTGAAAAAGTTTTTCCTGTTTTTTATAATATACATTTCTGTATAGGTATACCGACTTTTATTAGTTGTATAATGCAAATAACAACAATTTTTTGACTTGGAGCACCTTATCTTCTACCGGATTACTAGTTGTCCTCTTGGAAATTTGGGAAAATTATGCTCAAATAGGGTGCTGTCATTGACATGAATGGAAGATACTCTACATCATGATGATAGATTTAATGCTCTGGGAAAATGAAAACTTAAAAGCTGTGCAAAATGTTAATGTCAAGTCTGACCATATCACTTAATGGTATAATGGTAACTGATTTTAGTATGTTCGAAAATGGTGTTATGATATTGCTGGGACCAGGGATTGCTTATTCTTAAGAAAATTTCCTGCATTCATAGTATCTTCAACATAAATTCCTGTTTTAGGCTTCTCATGGCTAATTGTGTAACTTATAAATGAGTAATTAGACAAAATATAAATTGCCGCATTTTTTTGTGATATCCTTTTTTGACTGAAGGATTCTCTCATGCTTCATAGTAAAGATGAAATTCTTCTTTAGCTTTTCTTTGTCCTTTTTCACTAGTATTAAAGCTGTTATCAGACCAGACCAGAAATCACTTTTTTCTTTTTCAGGGTTTGACTGCTTCTTCACAGGCACCCATTTATGTGACAACTTTTTGAGTGCCTGTCCAACTGTTTTTCTGCTCATGGAATCTGTTTCTGGCTATGGATTTCCATCTCAGAGGCAACGTGTAGCTGTTTGGAGTACAGCCAGTTCTGTCTGTGAATGGACAAGGTATTTCTAGAAGCATCAGCTGCAAAGTTCTTTTATGAGATAACACCTCTTACAGAAAAAAAAAATCCCTGACAGTAAAATAAAATATGTATGATGGCTGAAAAAGGTTTTCTCTCTGAGCTGACAAGCGTTTACACTACACTCTTATGTCTCTTTCTAAAGTGATGCTAATTCTACAATTTGGTAAATATTTCTGTGATGACACTATAAGCATGATGACAGCGGGTCTGATTGATAAATGTAGGTAAACAAATTTCCTCTGTGCTTAAATCATTGTGGCTCAAACAACAGTTCATACAGTTGACTCTCAATGTTACTTTTAGGACAGTTTTTATCATCTTTGTTCAGACAGTAGATGCTGAGGTCCATATTTTGCATGACTAGTGACTAAAATCTGTACAAAGTATAAAGTATTATAACTGAGATATGCCATATGAAAGAAAATAGAAATCTGGGCTAAAATCAGAATACTTAGAATGAAGTGCAGTTCTTCAGGTCATGCTCAAAAAGAAAATATTTTGGATGAAGACTATTAATTTAATTTCTGCTGGGTTTTTTTTGAAATCTCATGCATTAATGGAATGTCAATGATTATAGTGCAAAGATATAAACCATCCAACTGTGTATTTAACACTGCTCAGTTCTTCATTTGAATAGCAAATACACCTTATTGCTTCAATATCAGGTTTGATATGGAACAAATGACACATGCATGAGTGCAAGACACTGCATTAGATCTCCCTGTCCTTGTGGGTTAAATAGAGTAGCAGAATTATTACTAAGAAATAAATTTTTCCATATCTGCATGGAGTTGGCTCTTAGCAAAGTTTTCAAGACTACTTTAAATAAGATAATATATTCATTGAAAAGAATGGATTTAATTCTACATTTTCTTAAGCTTCTCTCCAGGCAACTGCCTGACAATTTGATAATGATGAGATACTATTTCATGTTCTGCATTAGTATTTTTAGCACCAATGTTTCTAATGATTGTCTTTTGTAATCAACATGTGAAGAATTTTCCTGAAATATCTAAGAGGTAATTTTTTTGTTATTGTTTTCTTTTAGATGGATTTTATCTCTTTTGCAATGCAGAGTAATCCACACAAAGTAAAAGTTATTTTTAACTTTCAGAACAGCAGGTTCATTTCTGCAATACTCATTTGCTAGGCAGACCATTTTACATATTCAACAATCAAAGAAAAAGAAGTTTACTTTAATTTACCCTATTAAATTCTTGAAGAGTCAATGGGGGTTTTATTTTTACCTTCAATTGAATTTATTCTTACGAATTTGAACAGGGCCATCCTCAGGGAAAAAAAAATCGTATTAAATCTTTTATATAATAATATTTCCATGTATTTATCTGACTTCTTTTTTCTTCATGTCCTGATAATTGTGAAGGTCTGAAGATTTTTTTTTTACAGGATTTCTCTTAATCTTTCACATTATTTTTCTGTAGTCTCTTAAACAGATTTTTGCTTTTACAGGTTAACCTTCATGTAAGTCCATCTTTAAATCCATTATGTATTATACTATGACAACTCAATAATTCTCTTGTATATGAATTATTAACATGAAAAGACTATATTAGCTGAAAAAGACTGTAATTGTGCTGCTGTGCTTTCAGTCTTTATTGTGTGCAATTGCATGTCCTCAATATGATCATTGCAAGCTATAGAGAACAAGTAAAAGTGAAAAGAAGTTGAAAACTGACTCACTAAAATTAATCCTTTAAATCAGTATCTAAACATCTATTAAAATCTCCTTAGTTTTAAAGTTGAAGAGCCGTATTAGAATTCATGAATAAAAAACTATGTCAAATTAAAGCTCATTTGATTTAATGCCTTCTTGTTATGAAGAAGTGAGCATTTTATGATCCCAATTTTTATCTATTTAAAATATTGATCTGTGCTTCTTCTGAAAGATGTACTTATGTGGCATTAATCAAACTTATCAAAAGAAAAATGTCAAAATAATGTTATTGAGCGATATTTTTAAAAGTGACACTTCAATCTTCACTGATACTAAACAAACAAGTATTTTGACATTACTCATTCAGTAAATAATAATTAAACACTGGTGGCTGGCTCCGTTTGTTAGGTATGGACATGCTGCATCAGGGGGAAGTGTATAAGTGTCACTTTTATACCTTGGGGCCCTTTCATACCTCAGGACCACAGATGTCATCTGCCTTTTCAGCAGGTCCCACTGGGAGCGCCTTAGGGAGGAACCATGATATCTGTTTTTCCTGTTGTCTGGCACTGGACATCAAATGAGAAAGCAGCTGGACCATTCCTTTGCTGTTGGTGTGTGCCTGGGTCAGTAGAAAGTCTGTATAGACACCCACTTCTGTTTGCTTTCCATGGCTTCCAACTTGCCCTTGGTACTTCCACCTTACTTCTCCAAGACAGTGGACTTAGGTGAAATTGGTTTAGGTGTCTCATGAGTTTAAACTCTGCTGTTCGGTCAGGTCAGTGTTTGATTGGGAGTGATTGGTATTCTTTGGTCCATATGTTCAATGCTGATGTCATGTGATGACTTACAGTGAACATATAGCATAGTCTACATGTTGGTCATAGATTGAAGGGAAAAAAATGTGAAAATTGAATTCACAGCTAATTTTCAAAATGCTCTCATGCTTTAAATTTCATTTAATAAAGATTTTGTGAACTTGTGTGTTGATTTGTTTCTTGGAGAAGTTGCTCCTTGGGAAAGTTGGATTTCTTTTTTTCTAATCTTTGATAAAATGTAAAGGGGAAGTAAGATAGTTAATGGGGTATAAAGCAAGTTCTGTGCTTTAGGGAGCTCTTTATTCCCATACTGTATATAGCAATGGAATTGCAGGAAGATTATGAAAACACAATGTAAGTAAAAAGTAAGTGCCAAAAATCAGAATAGAAAGTACTTTTCTTAATAGAAAAACTTACCAGGGACCAAATAAATTAACTTGAAGGCAGCTTAGCTTTTTATTCTGTATCTAACTGAATGTCTCAGCCTAGACTTTACATAAGCATGTTGTACTTACAGAAACAATTAATAGACCCATGTGAGTTACAATTGGAACACTTGCATTATTCTCACAGCTTTCAAAGTGCAATTTGGATAAAATCTCATACTTTAATTTAGCTGTAAATCAGGTGTTACTCTATACAGTTTCAGTTCTTATACAACCTCTTGGGCTGGGATATGTACTATTTAAATTCTGTACTGCAAGGAGTTTAAGTAATTGTAGATGTCATTTATTTCTGCAGCACTCATTCCTGTAGTAGTATAAATACTCAAAATGTGTTTACAAGGAATTAATGTACTAAAATTTAAATCTGATCTGAGCTACCAATAGAGTATAGGAAGTGTTCTCTCTTTTTCTAAAACTTCTTTCTCTGCTTATAAGGAGTTTGGGCTTTTTTGGGTAGATCATGTAAGAATTTTCACTTGGGTTGATTTAAAGAAAAATGTGCATTATTATGCAGATTCAGTAACATAGGATAATAGGTTGAAAGATTCCAGGCCATATTTTAGTGCACCCCATATGCTGAAAGCCAGGTTACTCAGGATTGTGTCAAGTTTTGCATACATGAAAGCATGAACATTCCACAACCCCTTTGGTAACCGGTTCCATTGCTCGATTGTATTCACAGTTAATTAATTTTTTTCTTACTTTTAAATGTAATTTCTTGGTGGGTTTTTTTTAATTTTTTTCAATTTTTTTCAATTTTTTTTTTCCAATTTATGCTCAGAGGCTCTTGTCCTGTCAAGGGCACCATGGGGGAGAGTCTGGATTCATCTTTTTGCAATCCACCATCAGGTATTGATTCATAATGGTAAGATCCCTTGTGAGCCCCGAGGTTAAATAATCCAGGCTTCCTCTCTCTGATACATCTCCGTGTGATGATCTGGTGACTTACATGCTTTTGTGTAACTTATTCCAGTCCACTAATACCAAGCCACTTTTGTAGAATGACATGGCATTTAGATGATCCTTCCGAAGTGATATAATTCTCCTTTTTTGCTTGCCTTTTGAAAAGAAGGACACATGAAAGGAAAAATTATAAAAAGCTAACAGTGTTGTAAGAGGAAAAGATAACCTGCCAAAATCATTTCTCCAGTGCTACTCTAGGTAAATATCAGTCACCAATCACATTGAAAACTGTTGTGTGGGGAGGCTGTAGAACTTTCCTCCTTCCCTGGTCCCTTAGCTATCATTAATCAAGGTTTGAATTCTACTAAGATTACCATCTATGGATATCTGGAAACTTATTTCCAAAGCAGATGCACTGCACATGTACGCCTTTAAGATTTCTCTTAAAGAAGAAGAAATCAATCAAACCTTGTCATTCTTAAGGTCAATAGCAAAAGTCTTAGCAAACCAGGATTTTCTATTGTCTTCTCCTTTACTGAACCAGCTATTCTCATTAACTACCAGAAACACTGTTTCTTCCTTTCACTTCCCTGAGTGTCCATTCATATACTGCAAATTTTATTGCTGTTAACTGTTAACATCACTAACCTTTCAGTTTACTATTGGTATCTTCTGAGTTGCTATCATCCCAGAGTTTCACCACGGGGGTTTCTAGTCCACAGATAGGAAACTGGGAGGAAATTTTTGTCTTTCCCAGAATATGCCCAGATGGGAGCTTGGTAACTGGAGAGCTTATTAAGCTCAATGACAAAGCTGCTTAGCTCCACAGTCAAAGGGGTTGTGGAATTGTAAGGCATCTGGAAATCATTTGTCTTATTTATATCAAGGCTATTTATGGAGTCAGCATTGTGCTGTAGTGCACCCAGATACTGTAGAGTCAGCGTTCCAACATAAAGACTCTCCTAGTAAAATATTTTCAGCTGAATCTACCACCTCATTGCATTGAGATAGAATTATTACAGAAGTGTATTTCATGAACTGTGCAATTCATGGGCAATGAAATTTTAATCCAGCTGCACAGTAATTTTGACAACTGTGAGGATTTCATCTTAACTTTATATCCCTGCCACCTTGAATCCTGGCATATGCCTATGGAGAAAGATCAATTAGATTTCATACTAGCTGACAGGGGAAGACATGAGAATAAGAAAAACAAAGTTTGCTAATCGGGAAGTTTAGGGATTAAACCAAACCTTTCCAATGTTCTTATCCATTATTCTGTGAAAGAGAAAATGGTATATTTTTCACACAGCTTGAATACACTAATCAGCAGTTTCCTGTTTGAGAATTGCACTAATGAAAATAAATTTCAAGTGACATATTAACTGGAAACATCAGCATGTGTGTCTAAGCCAGACAAATTCATTCAAATTGTAGGCAATGGGAACAAATAGCAGCTGTATCTCCAGCCCTGAATAAATAGATAAATAAATGAAATGGCTAGCGAGGGGTTTCTGAGGTGTTTGTGAGTATCACCTGTTTTCATTCAATGAGATAGCTCTCAAGTCATGGTGTTCTCCAGATGACTTACTGAGCATCAGCAGGTGCCCAAAGCACATCCTCAGTTGTAGCTCGTAGTTGTGTTGTCATGGGCAGAATGACCATTTTTAACAAAGTTAGCAACACATCAGTTTTTAAAATGAATCATGAAACCTGCCCAGATTATACACCTGATTGTGTGACTTTCACCTCAAAGGGAAGGTAAAAAGCTTTTAGAACTCCTATATGGCTTTTATTGACCATGTGCAATTATCATCAGTAACTGTGACTTTTTCCTAGCTCTCCATTTCTCTAGGTATCCACAATTCCACCTCCTTTATCATGCTAATACAGAGTTCAGCCAAGGCCTGGCTGATGTTACACATATGTATATGAGTGGAAGAGCTGTAAATTGTTGATGTACTGACAAACAGCAGTTCTACTGACCCAGCTGCAGAACCAGTTGCTTGCTCTAAGTCAGTAGAGACACAGGGGAAAGCCCAGGGTTAGCATCTCAATCAATATACTGCTGCCTATTCTTGTAGACCAAGAATAACTTGGTCTACAAGATCTTACATATCTTCTTGCCACTGAGAACAGTGGCATCTTCTTTTTCAAATCTAGCAGATTTTTTTCCCTCACTCATCTATTTCCTTTTTTTTTTCTTTTTTTTTTTTTTTTTTTTTTTTTTTTTTTTTTTTTTTTTTCCCTTTTGAATAGCAGAGTTTTAAGGTGTGGTTGATGCTTTTTGCCAAAGCTATTTTTCATTTCTCTTCTGATCCTAGAAATGTTGGCAAGTTTTTATTTGCATTTTAGGTATGTACATCAAAAATATAAATGTACGTATAGAAGTAGGTCAGCTTGTGGATACACTGGTGCTTATTGATTATTCCTGATGAAAATTGTAGGGTGTGTCTGGAGCAACTTATTTTAAAAATATTGATTACTTTCTTTTTGGAGGATTTGCCAATCCCTTTTTAAGCTCATTTTTATGTTTGGTCTCCACATTCCACAGGAGTGTGCATTGCAGTTACCCTTCCTTTCTTCCTTTTGATGGAAAACAAATGCTGTTTATTTACTTTAAACTTGCTGTGTGATGATTTTATTGATCATTCACATGTTCCTGTTTCAGAAGAAACAGCAAAAATCATTCCTGGCTTAGTTTCTTCACATTGTTCTATGCTTTATTAACTTCCAACTTTTTTTTTTTTTTTAATGGCATTTTTTGGTGGTTTTTTTTTTTTTTTTCAGGGGTGTGGGGAGGGGGGTTGTAATTTTTTTTTTTAAACTAAACTATATAGTTTTCCACACATCTGATCACACTTATATTTTGTCTGATTACCATCCCTATCCCTCTTCAAGTTCTTTTGCATAGTCTTTGTATATGCTGATCAGAATTAGGCATATCATAGCTTCTGCAGTATCAGATTGACACTTGTTATTGCTGTTTCTTTTAAAACAATTGCAAATGTTCTGTTTGTCCTTCTTTGGTGGAACTTTATATTTTCAAAGGGCTCAGGATGACAAGATATCTTTTCTAATCAATAGAGTAAGTCGTTGTAAATGTTAATATCATTTTTCTATTGTGTGTTATATGCACTTTTCTATATTTAATTTAATCTGCTCTTACTTTTATCTCTGTCTTATCTCTCAGCCCCACAAGTACTGCTTTAAGTCTGTATTTTGATGATCCTGAAAAACTTCTGTCTTCACAAGTCATCTCTTTTCCCAGATCATATATAAAATGTTGATCTGAGCAGGCGCATATATGATCCTCCTGGTAACCTCCTTTCTTCCTCCACAGAGAGCAGTTATATAATTTTACCCTGCAATCATTTATTAAAATAGATTAAATTAAAAGAGGCCTTTCCTTTATCCCCAGACAGCTCATATTTTAAAGTATCGTTAATGGCTTACATTTTAAAATTTTATGAAAACTCAAGTATGGAGCATCTGTTGATTGTTTATAAATGATGTTTAACGGAGTTTTCTCCACACCCTACTTCAAAATTGAAGAAAATAACCCTAGAATATACTATGTGAATCCATTACTGGACACCTGGATATGTGTCCTGAACAATTTGGAAACGCTGCATCTCTGGAACAATCTCTGTTGTAGAACACTGCTGAGTATTGAATCATCAGTCCCTAGCACAACCCCTTGCAAATTTAGGTATACTGC